AAAAAGTTTTATTTACTGCTGTTTGAGATGCTTTTACCATTTATTTTTTTTGGTTAACCAATTAAATATATATATATTTTTTTTAAGGATGATTGGATCCAAGAAGCAATATAGATAAGATATTCCTTATTAGTTGGCAACGTGTTTGGTGAGGCTTGCAATGTTCAATTATTAATTAGTGAAAAAAATTAAATGGTAATAAATCAACACCCATTAATAGTGGTGTAGTGGTACCATGAAGGCCCCATCCCAGCTATCAAATAGGACCACGTCGGATCATTCAGAAAGAAAATGACAACCACCAACATCTACATGGATGGATCTATTGAGTCTTTGACTTTTTGAATCTTGGAATGGAAATGCATTAACTTGGACGACCCCGCATAATTTACTGACATCTTCATGTCGGCATCTTTTCTTTTCCAATTCTTTTTTCTTTTTTAGTGCTTAATCTTGATCATTTTGTTAAGGGTTAAGTGACACCGATAATTCACATTTGCTTAGGTATTAAAGAATCTCAACTCGTAAGGAGCTTATTTTAAAGTGGTTAAAAACAGTTACTCATGCATCTGAAATCATGTGTTCGAATTCCTCCTCCCTATTATCGCTTGGATAACTAATCTCAACTATGTAGTAAGGGAAGATTAAAAGTTAATGCGTATTATAAAGGTGATCCCACTGGCAAAACTCATGAGTCATGATGAGTCAATGTCATGGCTTCAATACAAGGCAAAGCTAAAACATAATCAACACTCTCACTGACTAGTAATTACACATGGACCTGCATACAGCTGATGTTGTTGAAGCCACAACAAAAATTTAAACAGAGATGCAGGGGGGAAGTGCCTTTATCCTGAAGTATTAGGCAGATCTAAGTTCACACAAACTGAAACCGCATTAGAAGCTTTACAGATTTGAATTTCTCTCCCTTCTTATCATAAAGGGGCACTGCCCTAATCCCTGGCTTTAGCTCGGAGACGGGCAAACAGTTTTGCCCGCCAAAGTCATCTTTCTCAGACCTGTCATACTCTCGAACTTCGATTCGAAGTATGGCAAGCTCTGGAATGGTTAGAGGGAATGTAAACTCTTCATCCCAAACAGGTATCCATTCATCCTCAATTATCTTTGTTTTTTGCTTGCCACAATCAGCTGGCACTCCAACAATATAAACCTGCCATAAACCCCAACACAAGACTTTCAGTTGGCTTGGCACACACCAGTGGATTAGCTTCCAATTTGAACATTCAAAGAAACATAAAATTAGCTTAATGCAAAACAAAATTGATCTGACCTTTGTATAAAAGTCTGGTGGGGAGAAGGAATCAAAGTGTGTTCGGCTAAAATCCAAGTGCCATCCAGTTCCCATGTATACTTTTACCTGTCAAATAACATCCCTGTTCTGAGACCATTGCAAAACTGCCAAAAATGAACTTCACTTTTTAAGTTAAAGAAAATATGCTCACCTTCAATGTCTTTTTCACTGTCAAGGTCTTTTTAGGATCAAAAACCTCATCATTTGGACCCTTGTGCATCAAAAAGTCAGGCTTTTTTACATAACCACATCCTCCATTGGCTCTAAACATCCCATGCATCAACCAATTGTATTTGTCATTTCCCTGTTAAAGAATTTTTGACATGTTAGCAGGTTTCTATATATCTGTCAAATATAGAATTATATTATTTTAGAAAACAAATAATCCCTTTATTTGGACCTTGAAACCTTGAACTTGCAGCTAACCTCTGACCAAACAAAAAATACTTGAAACTAACCTGCATATTAAATGCAACCATTTGAGCTCCATGCATCCACCCAACATGTGGTTTGTAATTCCCGGAGGTGAATCGAGTTCCTTTCGGGTACACCCTTAGAATATTCTTACTTGTGAACCTAGAGAACATAGCACAACAGCAAGTTACAGAATCATTAAGCAGTAGAACAACACAGATATTGATGGGATGAGTTAACTTTGTGCAGGTACTACCTTAGGACATCAGTTCCGTGATCCTCAGCAGCCTTTTCAAGTTTCTGTTCGCTCAAACTAAGACGTCGAACTTTATCACCAACAGCAAGAGCATCCTTCAATTCACCCGAAGGTTTTCCAGCATGAATTGTTATAAGACGTTTGTACTCAGGTGCTGATTGTTGGAATGATTTGGCTTCAGCTGCATTGGCCTTGTCAATAGCTGGCTCACCATCACTCCCACTCTGTGGCCAGTATAAGAAGTCATGTGAAGAAGCCAACCCAGAAACCAAATTGGGAGATAAACTAATTGCATTGCATTTCTCAGCTGACCTTTTCATCTTCTTCAGATGAATCCTTTGACCCACTGCCTTCTTTTGGTGGTTTTGTTGAGATAATAATTCGATTTTTTAAAGATTCAGGTGATGGGAACTCTACCATCTGGTCTTCTGCCTCCGGATAATACAGCGTGTCTCCAAATGTTTGCATAACCATCTACATTGTGCAAAATCATAAATTCGAGGTCACAAAGAAGAGAATGCAAAATTTAACTAAAATTGTAAACCTTTATAGACAAGATTTGAATAGACCATAAGTAGATTATGCAAGAACTAATGGAAGCTAACCTCTGCAACTTTGGCCTGAAGCTTGGGAGTAAGGTGGTCTTCGAAAGTTATAACGACGGGGTATGGAGATTTAACAAAAGCATGCTCTTTTATGGACTTCAAGCATTTGACCAATGTCACAGGAGTGGTCAAGGTCCTGCAGTGCACAGAATTTATTTAACCAGAACACCAATTAAAATGAGATGGATTTTGTAATGAGCTGAGCTAGTGGTTAAGTATAAGTACCTTCCATGAAGAACTTGAACATCATCTTTGGCAGAATTTGGCCATAAATCAAGTTCAATAACTTTGACACCTTTTTCCAATGCCTTGATGATTGGGACATCACTACAGTCACTACTAAGTTGATTCCCAGTAAGGTAGGAATTGTGCCCTGTGTATATGAAGTAATGTGATATTGGAGCAGTCATGTCATGGTGTATCTGCAATCACATATACATTTGTCAACAACAAACCTAATATAATGCTAATGTGGTGGTCCCTCTAACAAACGCGGCTGCCAAATGTTTTCTTACCAGACTTATGTTATTAGACTACTATGCTCCAAACACAACATTTTTTATCGTGTTTTTGGAGTGGCAACATCAAAACAAAATAAAAATGGGTGCGAGTTTGTGTCTACCTGTTTTTTCATGGGTTCTTCTAGACACAGGAAATTGAAGAAATCCTCAAGGGTGAGGCCCCGCACGTGCTGGTGGTGGTGGGCGGCCTCGCCAGGGTGGCTTCGCGAGAACTCCTGGAGTATGCGGTGGGCGTCGGAGAGGGTGACGGCGTCAGCCGGCTCGCCCTGGTGCTCCACCAGAAAGCTCCGGAACTGGTCCACGGACATGAGGTCCCCATCCTGCGCGAACTTGGAGAAGATTGCCTTGACGTCGGGCGGTGGGCCTCCCTCGCTCGCCTTGAACTTCCTGTTGAAGCACTTGAACATCTTGTAGTTGTAGCTGCTATCCCCCATTGCCTTCTCAATCTGTTTGCTCTGCTTTCGATTTCGATTCGATCTTCTTCTCGGTTTCTTTTTGTAGCGTTTTTTCAAGTGCTGGGTCGTTGGATCTTCTCGGGATTGGATTGGATGAGAAAATAAGAGAAACAGGGGAGTAACAGAGACAATGAAACGATGAAGGAAGGGGGAGAGAGGGAGTGCCTAGAATTCAGGTCGATCGCTGGACGTTAACAACCAATCAACTCCTCTAACTCCAAAAACTTCTTCCGTTTCAAATTAGTATACTATTTTATTTTTAAGTTTCTAGGGGAGAGCCCATTTCAATTTACGTGTCCAAGAAATAAAAAGACAAAAGAGCTACGACTTAACGAGGTTGTTGTCTTCTTTCCAGTTCCTTCAATGACTTTTCTTTTCTTTTTTTTTGGTCTGGACCACGTGGTGGTTCTGGATGGACCCCAATTATAAATGACATTTTTAAGCTTTAAATATAACACAGATTATTTCTTGCTCACACCGAGTCAGCCCGTAAGGAGTAAAGTACTGGCTAAAGTAGTGATTCCATACGAGAGTAGAGATCGAACCCTTGACATTCTCTTAAGGAATAAGAATGCCGAATCATTCACACCAAGCATCTTGGTTAATGACTTTTCTTTTTCAGTCACATTATTTTACACTCTTCTTTTTCTTTTCTTTTTTGATAGATATAAATAAGTATGAATGCTCAACTGTTGCCTTGCCTGTTGGTGAGAGTAATTGAATATATTTTAGTAATGGAGTAGGCGGGCAGGCATACAATAAGATTGATACAAGACAGATCTGCCTGCGGCTGCCAAGACTTTTGGATCAACGAAGAGGCAGGATCTGAACCATGAAAAAGTTCGATAAAGACAAAACTCGGTCTTAAATCCACTTGGCATAATCGGAAGCATGTAAGAGATAGCTAGCATGTCCCAGTCCCACGTGCAAAACAAGGAAATACGACACCTTATCTGTCCACTGTACTGAATAGGTAACATCTCACCCGCCCTGTTTAGGGCAACTTAAGTAATAATTAGGGTTATTTTTCTTTCGCCTAATAATTAGTTAACATTGCTGCTTCCTTTTACATTTGTGTTCAAATGATTTAGTGTTGATATATGTATCAATTGAAAGGATAATTTTTTTTATTTTTTATAAAACGATATTCTAAACTATTCTAATCTAATCTCCAAGAGTAGCTTGTAGTCGGAAGTGGTAAGTTTGAAGAGGATTGTAATTAGAAATTGAAATGTCGAAGTCTAGCAAAACGAAGAGACAAGGACCATTTATTCTGTACCCAAAAAAAGCTCAAACATAGACGAGTTACCATAGGCTTGGTTCACCGACCCAAAAGAGGACAGGCTTGGCTTAGACGTCGGGACAAGGTTTGATAGTTGGGCCCAGCTTTCAAACATACGTTAATCCAGTTGACAGGCCCACAGACACAGAGATACAATCGCGGACTCACAAGCGGAGCGTACAAGTCTACCAATGCAGTGAACCAGTGGACTTGGAAAGAGGAAGCAGAGAGAGATGACCACCAGAAGAAGGTTGGTTTTGGCAGCAGCTGTTTTGTGGGTTTTGCTGCTCTTCGGCATCTTATTTGTATGTGGTAGAAACTCCAACGCTATTTGTTGTTATTTTTTGCAATCTTATTTTCTCTTCAAGATACATATTCTCTAAATTGTTTTACGATTGTCTTGTGATTTGATTTCAGACTCGATTTGGCGACGATGGGGCTCTGCACGAGCCAAAAATTGGCAAAAGCGAGATCCTTGAGGTGAGGATTCTTGTTCTTAACAACCAGTTTTCTGTGGAAACCAATTTCCAGAGCTTATAATATTTGGTGTTTCTATGTTTGACAGGAAGAGGATTTGGAGCAAGTGACCCACAAAGTTTACTTCGATATCGAAATCAACGGAAAACCCATTGGTATGAATTCTTCGTCAGATGAAAACCCATTGTTAATTTCTCCCACTAACTTCTAAACTTCAATTCAAAGTTGAGAATTTTGTGCTTGTGGTAGATTACTTGGCAGAGGCAATGTTGTTACCTTTATATTATTCATGTTCTATTTTGCTTCAGGTCGCATAATCATGGGTCTCTTTGGAAAAACAGTTCCTAAAACCATAGGTGGGTACCCCAGTAAAGTGCAGACAATTTTCTTATGTGTGTGTCCATTGAGATATATTACTATGAAAAGAGTTGATCAAAGTTTTCTGTTTCAAATGCAGAGAATTTTCGAGCACTTTGCACGGGTAGCCAAGTAACTTTAGCTCCCTTACTGTGATATTTGATTATTTGCATGGAAGCCACTGCATTTTTTGTTGTTATTTTCAATTTTTAACGAGCCCTCGGGGTTTCAGGGGAAAAAGGAACTGGAATGAGTAGGAAGCCTCTTCACTACAAAGGAAGTGCATTTCATAGGATTATTCCCAGCTTTATGATACAGGGAGGCGATTTTACTCTTGGTGATGGACGAGGTGGAGAATCAATTTACGGCGATAGCTTTGCAGATGAAAACTTCAAACTACAGCACACTGGGCCAGGCAAGCTAAAGTCTTCCAAATACCTAGATAGTTTCTTGCAAAATTTCTTCAAAAATGTTGACTTATTGGTCTTCAAGTTAAGCTAAAACCGCAAAATGTGCGAAGTGTATTCTTGCCTATCTGAATCTTAAACTCTCTGTCTGACAAGCAGGTATTTTGTCAATGGCAAATGCCGGGCCAGACACGAATGGATCGCAATTCTTCATTACAACTGTCAAAACTAGCTGGTACGTTTCATTATTTCCATTTATGGGAACATATAATCCTAGAACTCGCAACTAGATTGATCGAGTCGTATGATTACGAAGTAGGTTATGGTTCTGACAGGAATGCTTTAGCCTCCATCTTTGAATGGAATGTTTCTAACTTGAAATCCTACATTTTGCTTTGCTTTTGATTTTAAGGTTGGATGGGAGGCATGTCGTATTCGGCAAGGTGCTTTCTGGAATGGATGTTGTGTACAAAGTTGAAGAAGTGGGAGGACAGAATGGGGTGCCTAAGAGTAAGGTTGTCATTACAGACAGCGGCGAACTTCCATTGTGACTTCTTGTACTAATGTTCTTACATACAAATGATAAGCGGATTCTTCTTTCTTTGAAAAGTTATTCAACATAACATATGTGTCTGTTCATGTTACACAATACTGATACGTGTATTTACTATTATTCAAAAGGAGTCTTTGATTCAGTTACTTGGCTAAGAGTGCCTCACCTCTTCAATTACATCCTTAAAACACCACCCCAAACAACACACTAATTGCATCATTCAACAAACCAATCAATACAGCATATTATTGGTTCATTGATTTATTATTGACCAAATGGGGTAACAGACTCAAACACACACTTTTGTTTTAATACAAGTGACAGTTTAAACTAAATAATCAAATTTACGAGACTTAGGTGCAAGTCCTAACCAGCCGACTTAACCCGCGCCAAACAACTCAAACACTATTATTACAACACTGCAAAAACCCTAGCTGCTTGCGACTATTGAATTCAACTCAAATTCCAAAATGATGATGGGGTTGGAGTACATTCTACTGAAAAACGACACTAGTTTGTGGGCTTGGCGTTGGCGTTGTCGTTGCGGTGGTGAAAGAAGGTGGAGAAATTGGAGGAGAGGTCGGAGTAAAGCGAAACGACCTTGGAGATGTTGCCGTTGATCTCTTGGATAAGACCCACGTTCTTGACCATGTTGTCGGCGACTCGAGAGCGGTGGTTGTCGTTCACCTGCTGGATCAGCGCTCGGTTCCGATCCAGTACGGCCTGTACCTCGCGGAACCTGCGGTTAAACTGGTCCCACACCTCCGCATCCTCGGCTTCCTCTTCTTCGTCGACTGAGAGTGAGCCCGAAACGCTGCGTTTAGTTGGCGTTTCTTGGTGGTTGAAGTCCATGCTCGATTCCGCTCCGGAGGAGGAATCCCGGGTGGTCATGAGCATGGAAAACGTGCGCTATTGGTCGGGTCGGACAAGGAAACAAATATCTAGCAATCAAAAATACATCACCAGGGACCGCAAAATAAATTTCATACTCTTTGTTTGCCTTAAAGATAAAATGATTAATGAATAGGTGCGTGCTAGACTAGTAATGCTAAGTGCAAATAATTAAATAATGACGTTTAATTAAAATTACAATGATCTCATTAACTTTCATCAAAATTACCAACTAGCTTTTCCAATGTAGGAAAAATTACAAATTGGGACAATGATTCAGAAAGGATGGATCAGATTAGAGGTAGAGTAGAGGGCACAGTACAACTAGTCAGTTGGCTTCCTTCCTCTTCCTCCCAAGTACAGAAGCTCTCTCGAATCGGGGGCCGCCTATCCGCCACTTCTTAAAGGCCGCCATTGACGACTGAGCTGCCTCATACACTAAAAACAATTGTGTAACCATTTTGGGTCAACATTCATATAGAAGAAGTTTGTGAGACAGTGATGAAAGATGTGATAAAACATGTAGGGTGATATAAATCTTATGATTGGTTTCTTCTTTTGTTAAGTACGACAGCAATTTTGAATGTGCTGTAAATGCTGCGTTATGTGCCTTTGCCAAGATTTTCTGATACCTGGTCCTAAATGCAGATAATAGGAATGATCCCATGTCCCTATCACCAACCCTATCCATCCAAATGATTCAAACAAAATAAAGAAAAAACTAGTTAGAATCAGTTTGTCTGGCCACAAATAGTACATGTGAACAGCACAGATTGTTGAGTGTCCAATTTACCGCCCAAAAACAAGAACAGAAAATAAATCATCCAGTTGTATTTCTTTGGATTCAGACAAGAAGCATCAGTCAACACTAAATGCCCTCCTACCAGATCATAAACCACACTAGGCCAAGTCTACAAAGTGAAGGTCCAAATGTTAAACCAAGAGTGCCAAGCCAACCAATAAATGTCCAATTCTCAACGTTATACATATTGGTTTTTCTTTTTCTATTTTCGCTTTTAGCGTTTTTCTCATTCACTTTTGTGTGTCAGATATACTAAATTAATCTATTGTATGTACCTGACTTTCATAGGAGAAACTCAGGGTTTTATATCCCTTGACCAAAATTTTCAATAGCTGATGTTGGAGAAATTGAATTACTTCAGGAATAGTTTTCATTTTCAAATTGACAAAGAACAAGATCATGACAATTCACAGTGAAAAAAGTTAATCCAGAATGGGAGTCTTCTCATATACCATTTTCTCAACCTCTACCACACTAAGGTTCATTTATATGAAATATCCACCTATTAGAAGATAACTGAAAGAAAAGCATAAAGAGAACACACTGATCAAGTTATGTATACAAGAAATGGGTAGGAGAGAGACTCACAGCGGTGCTATCTTGCATCCAAATTCATAGAAGTATAGACATCGAGATCTTAAATCCACAGATGCACCATCAGCCCCAAGTTCCAGTTTTGTTCTGACAAAAGAAGAAATCTACAAGGGTTAAATATGTAATACCAATCACTAATTTTGAACTTCGAACTTGAATCACATAAGTCACTCTTCATGTCTTCCCCAAAATCTAATACATGCCTGGGGGCTGGTAACAACTATGTTTGATCAATACCAACTAATAAATTCAATGATATGACAATTAAAACATAATATAACGCATAGAAGAAATGTCTGGATATCAGATTTCAAAGACGAAAATAATTGAAAACCGATTACCACTTGCCAGAATGAATCTCCCTGCAACTCAGCCCTAAAAAATGGCCATAAATTATTTTGAAATAAACCTATACAGATCATTACCTTTGATTGAAACATGCAGGAGCCTTCATCTTTGCTACTTTTCTGAGGTGTAACTCGTGAGCAAGCCAGTAAGGCAGCTCTACCTTTGAACCGGGTTCAACCTGAAATACAGGCCCAAGAAGATATAAGAAAATATCTCCTTTGAACAAAAACCATTCACTCCAAATCCACTCTGGTCACTTACACAATGGGTTTCAGCACTAGGATCAATATCAACCCCATTTACTGCTTGCTGGAAAACAACTGGGACACGCAGCTTGGAAACAGCAAACATGTTTAGAACACAGAATTAAAATGACCAAGTAAATAAAGCAAATGGAGTTTAGATGTGAAGGATACAAAGAGACGAGAATTAACCTGTTCCTCCACAAGAATATCATCAATGTCATAGTAACTTGCCATTTTCAGAAAAGATCCCACTTGCCGTACAATGCTCCCTGCCTTCTCCAGGACAGACTCCTGCAGCAACGGATCCATGAGCCCGCAAAACCCAAAATGACATAGAATGTAAGGCTAAAATTTTGACATTCTAGTTTAATAAAAGGTATTTAAAGCGGTCTTAATTGCTTAGGATTTCCCATATTTATGTGACAGTGTTGCATTTGAAAAAATTTGGGTTTACGTTGTGTAATTGGATTCTGCAGACATATCGAACCAACGGATTCAAGATTTCTTGTTTATGCCAATTCAAAATGAAGGGATACCAAATATCAACAAGTTATGAACTCTAAGAAGCATTTTGACAAACAAGTTGCAGGCAAGAAACAGACCTTATTGATTTCATAGAAGAAGCACATATAATTATTTTCTTTCTTTCTCAGGCCGTGTATAGGGTAAAGACTACTCAGAAAAAGAGATAAAACCCACAAATACCCAGTTAGTAAAACATACATATCCAAATAATCCTAACTTTAAAAGCAAGAATCAGATCAAGCGGACCAAAATATGGAACTAAAATTCTCTAAAATCCAATCTGAAATGACGATAAAGAGTTGAAATTAATTATATCGAAGTTCAGAATTACCTGAGTTCTTGTTTCCCTTTTTCTTTTTTGGGGGTGAAATCTGTGGCCGACGAGAGAGATTTAACTAAACGAAGCGAAAAAGACGATCCAAAAAATGAAATGAAATGAAAAGGAGGGAAACTCAAAAATATTGGAAGAGCCTATACATTTTTAAAAATTTTGAAAGCGTAAAGCCGAGCGGCTATACTGTAGTGTTTATTTTTTTTGATTTTAAATAGTACGACCGAGCGGCTATACTGTTGTCTTTGATCTCTCTCCCTCTTGTTGGTCATGGACTCAAATCTGTTACTCTCTTTAAAACATTGGATGAGAGATGTTCTAGCTTAGTTAAAACATTGGATTCTGCAAAGCAAGAATGATTTTAGAGAAGAAAATACGATCAGGTCATATCAAAGGACAAGGCTGATGAAGATCAAGCTTTGAAAACAAAAGCTGCTCTAGAGAAAGCTGCAGTTGTGCAAGAGCGTTTTGTCAAACAAAGTAGGGCAAATATTCAATTATGCTCAGATACGCTCATGTTGACTCATATTGACTCAAGTATTTTTATTCTTCTCCACTATGGAGGTATTTATATAAGTACAAAGATGTGTTAACCCTAAATAAAATAGGAAATATATCCAAATTACAATATAAAATAAATATAAATTACAATAGAAAATAAATCTCAATTATAATAGGACTAGATAAACGGATAAGTAACCAAAATCCTAACATAGTAAGGAACCAAAATCCTAACGAAGTAAGGACTCGCCAACACTCCTCCTCAAGTTGGGCAAATATATTTTGCATGTCTAACTTGACAAGCGAGTCGCAGAACACCATACTTGAAGAAGCATCAATTTGTAGAGAAGTCCTTTAGTCAACCACAAGTGAAACAAGTGACAAACTAAAGCAAAGTTCGCAGCAGAAACCATGTGAGTATGGTAGTAGTAAAGCAGAACACAGAAACATGTGAGCATGGCAGTAGATACGACAGAACACAGAAACCCTGTGAGCACGTCAGCAGATAAGGCAGAACACAGAAATCCTGTGAGCACGGCAGCAGATAAGGCAGAACACAGGAACCCTGTGAGTATGACAGTAGATAAGGCAGAACACGATAAACCCTGTCAGCACGACAATAGGTAAGGCAGAACACAGAAGCCCTGTGAGCACGGCAGTAGGTAAGGCAGAACAAGGTCAATAGGCTATTTCTCCATAAATACCTTCATATTTGAGAAGAATAATAAGATGAGAAAATATGAGCGTATCTTAGCATAACTGAATATTTACCATACTTTATTTGACATGGTATAAAAGCCTAGGTTTTCTTGTGACCTGTGTTTGCGGTCTCCTTGAGAGTCGTTGCTAATCCTTGAGATCTTCTGACAAATTGAGAGTCGTTGGCGTTCCTCATTCCTAACCCATCATG